TATAAGCGCCGCTAATAATAAGGCTAAACCGATGGGAATGAGAGGTTTCGGTACATTTAAGTTCTTGGAGTCAATCAAACACATGATTCCGAATTGAAGTAAAGCCACTGATATTATCTGTGAATCAGAAGTTAACCTAAAGTTAGTTTTGTTATGAAATTTATTATAACTTATAATTTGTAAGATAGATATGAATAGTGATTACTTGATCGCAAAGGGCTCCCCACGCCGTCAAGTATAGTGTCGGGTGTGTTGTCATCAGTCCTATTATAGAAGTGTTATATGGATTACATTTAAGTCTAATGATGGTTAAAGACATGGTACAAGACCTGCAGTACTGGTGGCGTTGAAAAATGCCGACCGAACTCCTCCATCGAAATCATTGATTGCATTGTAAAAGTTGAGGTATACTATGATTAAGGTATTTAAGTATCGATGTATTGGCAACTGTTTGTGTATAAAAATATACCGAGAATAGATGCGACCAAACCTCCCAAATATTGGGCCACAAAATAATGGGGAACTTTTCTGTTGTATCAATAAATATGAAAATGTTTAGTTTAATTTGGGTTTAGATTTGTGTAACTTTCAATAGAAGGACCTCCATGGAAACTTGCCCAGTGTTGCCACCGCTATTCATTAAAATTTTGTTTTTAATTAATTATTACATAAATAAAATATGATAAATCATACCTAATGTGACCACAGGGTTGACGTGTCCTCCTATATAAAAGTTGCATTTTTAATACACTTTAAAAGTTTAAATATTAACTATAAATGTCTGACCGGAAACTTTTGCTCCCAAGTAAGCGGCGATCATAAGTCCCACTCCTGTCGCGATTCCTACAGAATTCTTTTCATACGAAATGAATTTTCATATTAACTATTGTTTAATAGTTTATAATATGTATTAAATAAGTACTAAATCGAGATGTGGTCGATGGCCGAGAACTTGAACAGCGATTGAACAGTTGCACATAATCTGCAATTATTGGTTTCCATTGTCGGTCATATTTTTTAATTACATTACAATTTCAATACTCACCACAAGAATGAAGGTTCCTATAAATTCAGACATCATTTCTCTTATGATCACATTTTTAGTCCTTAGAGACCCCAGAAGTACTCTTTTGTCTGACATTTTTGCAAACTATGAATTGCCCTAAACTATAGTTTTAACGGAATAAATGATATGTAATTATTAAATTAAATCATAAATCATTAGAACTGTATTTTGATTTAATA